TTCTCTTGGATGTGATATGTTTCCTGTCCTGAAGGGACGATCACCACTCCAAGCATATTCAGATTTTATGATGAATTTCAGAGATACTTTTAGATCTTTACTTGGTGTTGTCATTACGGTGAGATGTTACTATTTATAATACAGCAAATCGCTTCGTCAATCATTGACAACTGATTCTTTGATTTGGTAAGTTAGTTCTCCTGATAGATCATTTTGTAGGGAGTCCAAGTTGGCATGGGTCCTGCAGGTGAATTACGGTACCCTTCATGTCCATCACAGAAGCTAGCATGGGCTTGGCACACACGTGAGCTTGGAGAGTTTCAGTGCTATGATAAGGTACACCAACAAGTGCAATTCACTTGTAAGCTTGCAAAAACTTTCATTCTCTGTAATAGGTCGCTCCAATCATTTTGCAATTCCTGACTGTCATCTTTTAGTATTGTCTCCATCTGTATTGATTTGACTGTTTGCAGTATATGATTGCATCTCTGAATGCATGTGCTCATCATGTCGGAATGCGTGAATGGGGATATGGAAGCCCGATTGGTACTGGTAATCTGATGCATGGCCCTGAGAATACTGAGTTTTTCAAAAGCAATGGTGGATCTTGGAATACCCCTTTTGGGAAATTTTTTCTTCATTGGTACTCTGGGATGCTGCTGCTTCATGGCGAAAGGATATGTAGAGAAGCGAAGACCATCTTTCAGGGCACTGAAGTTGATACTTCAGCCAAAGTGGCTGGGATCCACTGGCATTATGGCATGCAATCTCATCCTTCTGAGTTAACAGCTGGCTACTACAATACTTCAAGGAGAGATGGGTACTTGCCAATTGCTCGCATGTTGGGTAGGTACGGTTTTGGTTTATGCTGCTCAGGCTTTGGAATGAGAGACGTGGAAGAAAAGAAGACAAACCCAGTCAGCAGTCCAGAGGGTTTTCTAAAACAGCTTTTATTGGCAGCTAGGGTCTGTCACATACCGATAGAAGGTGAAAATTCAGCAACTTTTTTGGAAGATGAATCGTTTGAACAGGTGCTAAAGATGTCAAAGTTCTACACATATGGTCTTGAAAGCCCCAACTTCTCTTTCAACTTTATGAGGATGGACAGATACCTCTTTGAACAGCATAACTGGGTTCGCTTTACTCGTTTTGTGAAGCAGTTGTCAGGGGCCAATATTTTTCGAGCCAGATTAGATTTTGGAGGCGATGTACAACCAACTTCAGTGTCAGATGTTGTAAAAGTTAGAGCTGCGTATACATATTGTTAAGGAAGGAGATTCAACCCATATCCAGCAGCAAGGCAAATCATCTGATGATATCCAATCAATTGTTGCCAAATGTGTAGTGATGCCTCACTTTCAATCAATTTTTTTTTCTTTTAACCATGCAGGGTTCTTGTGAACCATATTATTTGTCCCTGTACATCTTGCCTCCCTAATATTTTTGAAGTGGCTGGCGTCTCATCAATTTGTACTTGGAAACTTGTAATGATACGTAGTGCTAATCTGTTCTGGCTGTTTAGTGAAGGAATGTCAGTGTCAACTCCTGCTGGCATGGCTAAGAATCAATGAGGTCATTGGTGGGTCTTTTTGATTGTGAAGGGCAAGGATATTGATACCGTTCTGACTGATCTCGTTCCACCCGACACAGAAAAAGAAAAAAAGGAAACTAATTTTATCGCAAGATTCAAAATGACAGTCCATTTTGGATTTTTGAGATGTTTTGAATATGCTAGAACCATTCAGTTCCGTCCAAAGATGAAGGAAAGAGAAAAAGAAATGGTAAAGGCAGGATACTAGTATGAAAGACATGTGGTGGAAAGAAAGGAGGTGCACCGAGCAAATAGATTTCGATTTGAAAAATCGCAGCAATAGCGAAAGAAAGTAGAGATGAAGATTTAATTGTTGCAAAATAAGGGAAAATTTGACAGGGCAGTGGAATGGGAGATGCTGTGAAACGGCCGGTGTAAAAGAAGATAGAAGGTACCTCGTTGTTTTTGTTGTTGTGTGCTTGTGTTGGAATACGTGACAAGAAAAAAAAACAGAGATGCTTGCTTCTATTCTAATGGAAAATCGGCAATTTTAATAGATAAACTGGGCCACGATTCCTTTAACATTGTTAACATTGAAATTGTTTTTATTATGTTATTTTTATTGAATGATTTAACTATCAAATTTAAAAAGTTAATTTTTTTTAAATTAATACTATATATAATTAAAAATTGAACTTTATAATTTATTTTATTTTATTTTTTGTTAGGTTATTTAGGGGTCTTGACTTAAAAATAAATAGTTTATTAAAAATTAAATTTTATAATTTATTTTAATTTATTACTTACAAGACTACATCAGTGACACACTAGATGTTTATTGTTAACACGCCTGGGACAGGGATAGAAGGGTTGTTTTATTTTAATTTATTACTTACAAGACTAGGATAGAAGGGTTTTCAAGATAATTTACAACGTGTTTGACCATCAGGAAATATTATACAATGTGTGCACGCGCATCTCTACAATTTTTTTTTTTAAATTTGTTACAAAAGTAAAAATTTGGTAATTTTGTATTTTAGAAAAAGACTATTACCTCTATTGGCAAGGGCAAATATTTTTGTTATTAGGGGAATACACATGGATGTTAAGGCACGGTTTAGAATAACATTCCAAGTAGCGTTTCATAAAAATTTAATTTTTTTTATTTAAAATTTAAAATTTAATTTTTATTTTATTTTTTTTGATGCGCTAATATTAAAAATAAAAAAAATATTATTTTAATGTATTTCTAAGTAATTTTTATTTATATAAAAAGAATACACATTTATATTAAGTCACCGTTTAGAACCCCATTCCGTTTCATGAAATTTTATTTTTTTTGTTTAAAATTAATTTGATAATATATTTAAAAATTTTTAATATGCTGATATTAAAAATAATTTGAAAAAATAAAAAAATATCATTTTAATATATTTATAAATAAAAAAATATTTTAAAAAACAATTATTATTATAATCTTAAACATCCCTAAATGCAGATAAGCTTCAGGAAATTTTAAACATTTCTCACTTCTAGATGCATCTTTAGTGGACATCCATACAGCTAAAAAGGTTTAAAGGCAGTATTGTTAATAGCTAGAATTAAAATGCCGTGTGCAATCATATAAGGTAAATTCCAGCTAACGCAATCTGCAATTTGCAAATATGAGTAGTGCTAAATTTTAACGAAAATGCTTTCAAATACTATCACTTTGTGGAAGATCGTAGCCATTTGGTTTCATTAGGCACATACATGTCAAATTTTATAATATTCAGAAAAAAACTACGGATATCATATTGATTATTTTTCAGACTTGTTTTAAAAAATAATATATAATTAAAAAAATTCTAAATAAAAAAATTCTTATTATTTTTTATGAGTCGTGAGTTTTATCTACTCTTTTATCTTTATCTTTGTGTCTTCTCTTTTTCCAAAACAAATCTAAAAAATAACTAATTAAAAAAAAAGAAAGTAGAAGCCAGATAAAACCATCTTGGATTGTGTGTCCACGCAAGAGCCAGATAAAAGATGGCTCTTGCGCAGACACACAATCTAAAAATGTCTTCACAATCATCATCTCTAATAAAAAAAGTAGAAGGTAGTGGAGCTGTAATTTTAAATAGTTGATACATGTGAAAAGAAATCCTGCAACATTCCAAGGGCTACAACAACTACAGGATACCCTTTTTAATTACAATTAGTGGAGCTGTAATTCTTTTTAATAATGCTCTTAAAACGTGAAAACAATCCGCCTCTAAGTCATTTTTCAAATCTCAGGGAACATGGTACCCTTTTTAATTACAATAAAGTATGATAAAATGCAGGCAGGCTGAGGATTCGCTGTTTCTAGCCAGGCCACAGATTTAGATACCATACAGCTCACAGATTCAATATTTAAAGGTTGTAGTATCGAATCTTCCATGGTTTGCTATCATCAATTCCAGCGAAGTAATATGCAGCCAGCTTTGATCACCACCTCAAATGATGTGGCCGGTCTTAGTTGTCGAGCCAATGTGGCTAACCTGACTCCTCTTCCCTCAATAATTCTACCAATATTTGGACTATTTGCCACACAAATAGCTTGCAAACAACGTAAGCCTGTGAGTTCTAACATTTAGAGTCCACTTCAGAGAACATGTTGGTTAACAAAAAAGGAGGAAAAAAATCGGTTAAGAGTTTAAAGTAATAACTCCAAGATGGATAATTTTTCTCCTGCAGTATGGTTAGAATTAATTTAGACAGATAATTATCGAAAATAATGTTGTGGGAAAAGGAGATAGAGGGTGTCATAAGCTATCATCAAATCTTTCCAAGAGAAGAGGATTAACTGAAGTTTACAAAGAAAGATGGAGGAAGGATGGGTGATCTACTTAAAGAGGTGCTGTGACTTATGATATGACTTGCACCATCCCAATTTTCATGATTCGAAAGGCAGCAAAATAAGAAGGGTAGACGTGTTTTCGTGTTCTTTTTCCAGGGACTATATACAAGGGGTCCCCCTCCATGAGAAGCAATGAGCTTTGTCCATTACCATACAATATGACCTTATAAAGAGAGTCAGAAGCAATGTTACCTTGGCACAGTTAGCAAGCACCATGAACAGAGCACATCATGAGCAATTCTGTGGACTCTGGTAAATTCAATTGACTTTCTGTATAGGATATTATTGCAGTCCCTACTTTTGCCTATTTTCATCCTATTGGTGCATTAATTCAACCTTGTAATTGTTTTAATGCTGATCTTCATTTGTAGAATCCACTGCTAATCTCTTTCTAACTTTAATTATCAAGTTCCAAAAAACTTTTTTTGGAAGATGAACTGCACCAACATTAGCTAGAGCATTAATTTGCATATGGAATGAAATGGGGCATGGCCCGCTAGCCAATGGTTCATATTGTTTGATAATGACACCACTTATCCTAAACAGTGAAATAAAGCCAAAAATGGGTTTTAAAGGTTGGAAAGAATGGTTGAGACCAGAGAAACGTAGGCAATTACACAGAAATTCAAGTTGGATTGATTTATAGATCTTCAGCCACGCAAATGCGAAGTAAGTTGTTTGCTACCTAACCAATTCGGCTTTTGGGAAGGAGTGAGGCAAGTCCTTGGAACCTGACTCTTGAGGTCACAAGAAAAAAGAAAAAGAAAAGAAAAGAAAATAAAGTGCAGTTGACTTTGTTGTGTTTTTGCTAATGGGTGTTGCATTTTCATCATAGCATTCTACAAAGCTTTTGAGTGCAGGTTGCACCATGAAGTGTTTACATGGTTCTGTCCCTATAAATTTAACACATCCCTTGTCCTCTCAGAACCTACAACAACAATCACCGGTGCATTTTACCATGTCTTCTCATACCAAAATCATTCTTCTCCTCCTTTTTTTCTTCATTGATTTATCTGTAGGTAAGCAGTTCATAAGCTCTCCATGTAAATTCATCTTATTATTTGGCAAGTATTGATTAAAGTAACATTATTTCCATTTTTCCCGTCTTGCAGCAAGAGTTTTAGGCGTCCAGGAGGGCAGTATTCTTCCAAGTCCACTAAGTGAGGTAGCTAAACCATATTAACAAGCACTTTGTCAATGCAACTATGTACATGTCATGCCTTAATTATTTTTTTTCACCTATAATCGTACTTTATAACATGACTTGATGATACTGCTTGAAGTTCATCTAAATGACCTATTGATTGATGCAAGCTCCGGTTCACGTTCAGAGCTATTGGAAAGTCCAGACAGATTTCGAGTTCTGTCCTTATTACAAGATATATACATCATAGATGTATTAGCATCATCACTGATTATTCATTTTTGAGAGATCAAACTATAGTCCTGTTATAATACTCTTATAATATTTCAGGTCATTGCTGAAATGGAGATGAGAAAGCTTACAGAGGTGGAGGCTATGGTGGACTACCAGAAAGATCCGGAGCCTAATCCTAGACATAAACCTGGAGGAAACGGCCCCTAACTTTTTAAACTTCTACTTCAAAACTCCATGCCCTGGGGGCTCATTGAAATAAGAAATATGTATGTATGTATGCATGTCCATTTCTGTGGACAGTTTAGTAAGGAGAGCTTTAGACTCTGAAGGTACCACTTGCTCAATGAGAGAGTGCTTGAATTTTCGGATGTATTGTAAAATGAAAATGAAAAATGAGAAAGCACTCTCTGTAGCTCTACTGGGATTTATAGAGAATCTGCAAGTTCCATAATATGATGTCTAAAGATATCCGTTCTTAGTTGTCTTGCAAATGTAGCAGCTACTGATAAACATGTTAGTATGTCCCTTCTCTTACCATTAATCAGGAAGACCATTTAACTAATATAAGCAATTTTAACCAATTCAATTCTAATGTATACAGCCTTGAAATATCAAGTAAAGAAATGCACCCCAGTTTCACAGTAAACCAAAAACAGCGGAATAGACAAGCTGTGGGGTTTTTCCTCTCAAGGGTTGGTATCTGTCCAAGAAATTCTGCAACACCAACATGTTTACATTTTCAATGCTAATATGTAATTGTGCATCATATGTGCTAAGAACCATGGTTGTGAGTATTTTATAATCTGGTAATGCGCCATCAGCCTCGAGGCCAACATAGGATTGCAGCCCCAACTAAGCCAATTTTGCTTTGACTTTGGGAAACAAGATGCCCTTTTGAATTACAAGATCTGTGATACCTAATGGATTCCTGAATCCCAATTCCTTTGTAGAGAAGTTGAGGATACAATATCTTCAGGCCATGCCAGAGAATGTTTTAGGAGACAGAATCATTCTTACCGTACTTTTCTTTTCTTTTCTTTTCTTTTTATAAAAATTTTAGACACCATGCATACAGCTAACAGATTCGATAATGAAAGGCTGTAATGCCAGCACCCCCATAGTTTGGCAATCATAAGAGGTAATTTCCAGCTAAGAAACATGCAGCCCAAAGATTACCATCTCTACTAATGAGTCCAGTCTTTGTTCCCAAGCCAATTGTGCTAGTTAATCATACTCCTATATATTCCTTTAACATTATTAGGTAGAATTCAACTAATTGCCACTCAAATGGCTTACAAGACTAAACCAATATTAATGTCCTAAAAAGGATTGGGAAACCATAGCCTAATGTTTAATGCCAAAAGGGATACCTTAGACAAGGGACTATTATCATGATATGGAAAATATGGAAAGGTTGGGAGGTCAACTTCAAGAAGGTGCTATGACTAATTCTGTTATGATATGACATCCACCATCCAATTATCATGATTTGAGTGCTCACAACAACAGGGGTAGATGTGTTTTCATATTCCTTGTCTTGGTCCTTCATGAGGAGTGATAAGCTCTGTCCATTACCATACAATATGACAGCAGAACGAGTCTCCGAAGCAATACACAGTAGGCAACAAGGTGAACAAGCACACATCATGGAAAACCCTTTGGTATTGAATTTTGACATCCTGCGTAGGACACTGCAGTCTCTACTGCTGTCTATTTCATAAAAAGAAATATTATGTCCGGTTCATTTAACCCATCCTCTAAATTGCTTCTATTAATATGGGGCCATTTGTAGATTGCTATGTTACTGATTTCGTTTGTCAGGCACCAAAATGCATCATTCAGTACAGATTTAATGATGTATGCGGAATTAATAGGCCGAGGCCTCCAGCCAGTGGTTCATGCTGTTGATGAAGACACGACTGAGTGAAACAAATCCAAAAATGGGTTCCATGTATGTGGAGGTTTAATACATATTGAAAGCTGAAATTGTGTAAGCTTCAGCCATGCATTGCAAGCCAGTTGATTACCGCCTTAGTGCGTGCAGTTGACTTTAGCTAATGGATACTGCATTTTCATCCTACCACTCTACGATGCTTTCGAATACATCTGGCACCATGAATATTGTTTCCAGGGCTCCACCTCCCTTCTGTCAAACTCCATAACAAGAACCACCATAACATTTACCAATGTGGATAATTCCCAGGCCAAAATCACATTTATCATTCTCCTTTTATTCTCCATCTATTTCTCCGCAGGTAAGCGAGTTCTCCATGTCTACTTCAATCTTGTTTGCTAGCATTTTGCCAAATATTCATTGAAGCAACGTCATTTTCATATTTTGTTCTCTTGCAGCCAGAGTTTTAGTGATGCAAATCCACTAAGTGAGGTAACAAAACTACATATAATTAATTGTAGATAGAAACTCTGCTGCTATAACAAACAATCTATGATTGCTCAATGTTGCATGCCATTGCTGAAATAGAGAAATACTCTTCTGATTTTCTTATTTAGCAGCAGGAGGAAGAAACAGTATATATAAAATATTGACTGAGCTAACTTAGAAAGCTGATTATACACAAGATTTAATAATCAGGGAATCAAAACTAAATCTTTATACAGGAAATTAAAAAATCTCAAAAAAGCTGATAAAGGAGACTGCAGGGATGGACTATATCATTGGCGGGGGATCACCGCCCACAAACGA